CATATCTGTTATCTCGATATCATGGTGACTGCTTCTAGGTCCTTCTTTTTCTATCCTAACATAGCGTAACATAGCGTAACATAGCGTAACATTGCGTAACATGGCGTAACATGGCGTAACATTGTCAAGCTATGTAGTAATTGCATACGTTTAGTTAATCAAATTTCTTAATTGACTTACTTTAGTGCTCACTATGTAATCAGGGCAACAAGCTTGAAACTAGATGGAGGGGGATGTAGTCCCCCAGCATAGCAAACCTGTGTTTCATTTCTTAGAAATCATATAGCTACGGGATATAGGTTCCTATAGAGCTATAGTTACGGGATATACATAGGTTTACATAGGAAAAGGCATTCATGTTTTACAGCTTCAGAGTTTAATAGTTTTTAAAATAACGACTCATCAACTTTAATTCGAACACTTACAGTTACAAGCTGATCCCATACGGCATAGAATCAGGCACTAATCTAACATAAGTAATACTGAATAACGGAAATATCTCACTATCCCGACAGATCTTACATATTACAAGTCAATATAGCATCAAATTATCCGATTATACGTCAGTAATGGTACCCAGATAATGTCTAATTAGCCATGATAGAGGTATGATTACAACTCAATAGTTTCATGGCGCCACGATTAACAATATCTTGTGGAATATGTATACTTGCTGGTTGTTGCAGTTCTATATAAATAGCATTTGCGTTTTTGTGAGTTTTACAATCGGTTGCTGTGTGTCTGTAAAGTATAAAATGGTTCACTTTGGTAAGGGATATTCTTTTTCAAATATTGTGTTGAAATTGCCAATTGGTAACAAATTTGGGCATGTAATTAGGTTTTCACGCATAAAATTTTTATCGTATAGTTCTAGTAAGAATGTTAAATATTTTTCAAACTTTATAGTCTATCTAGTTTTACATTATCCTCGCACATTTTCGAATACCTTGTGTTGCTGACTTAATAAACTCATGATACTTGATTCCTTTTCTGGTAAGCTTCTATTAGTCTATACTGCGAAATTAAATGTAAAATAAAATCGTATCAGCTAGATTTTTGAGAAAGTGACCGACTTAATTGATATTAATTTTATTTCGAATTTTTTGGACCATATCTCGTCTTTTTTAACCCATGTCCAGATGACTTGATGAAACGGGACGGAATGCAAATTCTGCTTAATTTCGTGGTAGCGTACTTACGACCATTTGTCCAATGAAGTTAAGTATTGTTTACATAAGGGTAAGCACTAAGCAGCCTAGGGGAGATATTGGGGTTTGGAAATACTCAATACTTACGCTAGTGTCATTTCTACACAAAATCTATATGTGTAAATCGATTAAGGAAAAGCCGAAAGGGTTCTTAAATGACCAAAATCTGTAATACGCATGATGTGAACGATTTCTCGTTTAGTGTGCTCAATAATTAAGCGGTAAATATTAATTTTAAAATTATACCACTACTCACAATGTCTTAATTTATACCGATTTTTGGGCCATGAAATTCCGTGGCTACTGGCTAGCCAAACAAGTCAAAAACAATTTAGATTCGTTGGTGTTGCATCTATTTTCCAAGAATAAAACATAAAGTTACAGACTACAGTAGATTTTGTCGAATCTTTTAGTGTTACTTAAATGTATAACATGGGTTAAAGCCTGTAAGTATATCCTGGAGGGGGATTATTTAAAACATATAACAAAATACATGTGTAAATCGTCTTCTGTAAGTATATTCCATTTTTACAAATAATTATATTAAAGATTTGTCCGGTTTTTGTCAAAATTAAAATTTACTGACAAAAAAGTTGAACTGATTGTTAACACCCTGAGCCGCGAAATGTAAAACTTGAAAGTTTAAAGAATGTATCTATAAAAAGCAGTCACTATGATATCATCACCAAAAACTTGGTTTTTGAAGCACATTTCATTATTCTCATTGTACATATCTCTCTGACTTTTCTTTTGACATTCTTCGCAGTTTAAATTATGTGCTCCCATATTTGAAATATTGAACCCGAGCGTTGTGAACTAAGTTTTGTGAACTAAGTTTTGAGCGCTTCTTGGGGTACCACCAAGAATCATGGCCGGTGCTACACTGTACGCAATCGTTCAACGAATAATCGATGATGGCGAAAAGGGTAAGTTATTTAGTAATACTATTACGACACTGCAGTCAGCTCTACGTTGTCGATACTAATCCTAGCTTCCTTGGGTGCCGCGCTAACAATACTTGGTCCCTTATGGCATTATGTTCAAAATTCATAAAGTCATGAGTCTCATCAGTAATGTATTGATACTGATATTGATTGAATAAGGAAATTGTAATGAATACCCAAATGCTTGCACCAGGAAATCGTGTTATCAAAGTGTTAAATTTAATAACTCGATATGAAAGAAACCTCAAACAGTAAACAAACCTGCCGAATCTCAGCGAGCGGCAAGTTTACTTTTCTCATCCAATTATATTCGGGGCGGGGCCCTGTGAACTCTCCTAAATTACTGGAATAATAATGATTGCAAGTATAAGATAATGATATGAGACTCGCCGATGAGGGTTCAGTTCAGGCAAGCTAACACCATTATAAGTCAGCACACTTGCATAATGAATATAATAGACACGTTTATTGATTATTCAGTATATTGGCGGGGGGAGGTCATGTAATACTGTTATTATTGTCCCGGAGTGTGCCTGGTAAATGTAATCACCTGATTCAGATGCCAACTCAACTCAGCGGCCTACATCTGAATATTGTCACATCCATGTTCGTCGTCTTTTTCTTGCGCCCTTGTACTTATTTAGTGTTGTACCAATGATGAACGGGGTGAATAGAGCATTAGTCCTGGGCTCCGACGACGAAACTTCGTCCCATGTTTCCGATGGTAACTAAATAGAATGTGTTATATCTTGTAATCAGTAATGTTGAATTTTATGTCAGGTAATTTCGTCACCAGTAGACAAGCCAATGTAATATTAGACCGGGGAATGTTGAGTAAGATAATAATAATAAACTTAACTTCTCAGATTAACAATATTGGAGAAATCACACGCGGGACACAATCACAGCGTTTTGTTAAACACACAATCCTCAATCGCTACATTAATCACGGTTGTTGGCATTTTCTTTACACACTCATTATTGTTTTTTTTGCTTAACATGTTCACGATATTGTTGCGTTCTGAATCCGAGAATTTTTAGATCAGAGGGAAAGGGACCCTATACCATTCCATGAACATCTATGCGAGGCAATCATGGTTTGCATAATTTTATTTTTCCAGATAATTTCGTAATATGATTTACCGAACGTTCACGTTAAGTTTTCCAAACTTATCAAGTTGTATGCTGCTACAACTTGGAATAAGCTGTAGTTACTTACTCCTGTGGTTCAGATCTTTTGTAATGTACTAAATATCTCTCAAAAATTGTCGGTATTTTTTGACACTCTTGGTAACTTTAAGAAACTAATTTAATAAATTAGGATTTAAATCTTCGTAAACTTGGTACATATCATTCTTTGGATAAAACCCAATCATGAAATTGAGGGTGTCGCCTCAAATTCTAACGCGTGTTCTCTTTTATAAAGCTTTTGACGAAATATCAAGTGTGTTCAACAGATTATTGTCAATTGTAATGCATAATTATTGTGAATACATAACTTCCGTATATGCTCATGCTGCACATTAATATACTTGTTTCTGGGATTTCTTAAACGTAAATTGCTATTTTGGTTCAATCGAATCAGTGTACTATATTAATATAGTTTTTGTATGGTTTTATCGTACATAGTCCACATTGGCATTAAGGCAGACGCTGGTCACGTGCCACTAACAATGACATAAGGCTACTCTGTGAAAACCGGACGGACTGGTTCATGCAATGGTTTCTACTTCAAATTCTGGCTATAATTCAGTCGAAATTGTTTCCTTTACTCACTAGTCGGTTCCGAACAAATCTTTTGTTGTCCTTGACTCACTTGCGTCCATGACCTGAACTAGTCTTGGTTTAGGGTAGATCCGGGGCCCTGTATTGTTACTGTTAGACTGATGAGGCAGAGTAATAATTCCTCTCTCAATTCGGCGGGAGTAGGTAGATACGCGAGGACAGGTAATTTATTAGCCCAGTATAAACATCTTAGCCATGTCGCGTCTTCGCGAGTATTGATGACAAATTAAGTGTAATGTGAAGTGAATTAGTTTGTGAGAATGACTAATACGATTAGAAAAAATATCAGTAAATAATTCCAGATTATAATTTCGAAATCAGTTGTTGCATCCCCCTATCCCATTGTTATATAACATCTTTTCGGTTGTTAAAAGGAGAGAATCGTCTCGACGGTGAGGGGTGCCGATGAAGTATCCAACGGTACGTAGACGAACCTTTAAAAATTATCCACGCTCAGCGATTTTGTAGAAAAAAGTCCCGGACTAATAATTGTGTTCCACCTCACAGACCCCAGTACTGACCACGTGACAAGTTTCTGTCTCATGAGAGGGATTCTGTGGGTTTTATAATCAGTTGCTCCTGTCTTTACAGTCTGCCTGCTAGTCTACTATAGTGGTTATGTATTTTATCAAGGAGACATCTCAGTGATTAGCAGTATAGATATTGGGGAAAAGCCCTGGAATACAGGCCTTTAGGGCTAAGTTATGCTAACTTGGATACCAATTAAACTGTATTTACATGAGATAGCTTCTTCTTGGGATGTTTATAAGATGTTTATAAAATCATTTCATACTCTATTCGATCCAGAACCAGAACCATTTAAGGCAAATATATCATATGCTAAACATTATTTCATGAACCGTATCTTCAGTTCAGTAGTTTCGTCTCTAATCCATGTGACTTGATCCACAGTGATTCGAGGATCAAATTCATGGCAGATTCAAAGTTGCCATTTAGTCAAGTCATCGTTCCTGCATAAACAAAATATGCAGAGATAACATGATATATTTTCTGTTGTTTTAAAGTATGGTATTTCCAGATGTTTGACGGAGATATATTTCAGATCTAGGGTCGGCGGCAGAGCACAGAGAAGTATTTACAGACGGGAGGTCGACTCCAAAACAACAAGACAGAAACAACGTTCATATTGACGAGTTTTTGGAGAAACCTCTTAAAAATAGGGTAAGTTTTTCATCTGAGTTTTTCCAAGTTTCAGATTTTTTTTCAAGTTTCAACGGTTAATAATTAGGGTATGATTATTCCCTCCGATAACACAATTATAGCTTTTTCCTTTCCTTTAAAAACTCAACTTTTCTTAAGTTTCTTATTGAATTTAACTCGTATGAAGGTTCTGGAAACATATAATTGACTTAAAGACTACAAAATTTTCTTATCCTACAGGTAAAACTGAACATATGTGGACTCCTGTTCGAAACGTACAAATGTACTCTTCAAGAATACCCACAGACATTACTAGGGGGTTCAGAACTAGACAACTATTATGATCCCAATAAGAACGAGTACTTCTTCGATCGAAACAGAGAATCCTTTTCATATATTTTGAACTTTTACCAGACGGGCCGCCTGTACGCTCCCAGCCATGTACCGCCAGATATTTTTGAGGCCGAGCGAGAGTTTTATAAGATAAACCTGGCACTACGCCAGAAAACTGCCGCTCAAAATGGGACTAAGAAAATTGTGGCTAAGAAATCAAGGTGGGAAAAGATTGCAAATAAGGTGTGGAAGTTTCTGAACAATCCTAAGTCGAGTAAGGCGGCCACTGTGTGGGCTTGGCTAGATATTGCGTTTATCATGGTCTCAGTCACTTGTCTAATCGTTGAGACATTACCAGAGGTAAGCTTTTTTTTTCATGGTATCTATTTCTACATTAAAATACCATTTATGTTCGTATATTAAAACTCGTGAAATGTGGTATATTTTTACCTGACATTATTCGGGCTCTGTTAATCGGTTAATCTTCCATTTCAGTTTTAAACTTTAAAATCTTCAGATCAAACTGATGGTGTCAGACAATTCCTCCAGAGAGTACAAAATTCTCTTTACGCTTGATACTATCTGTGTAGGATTTTTCACATTCGATCTTATAGCTAGAGGTACGTTTATTGATCATTAGGAAGTAGACATTTCCGATAGGAATTGAAATAATAAAAAATTTTATTTTTTATGTTCCCCTCTTGCCCATTTTTGGCTTAAAGTTTCTATTTGTATCCTCCTTATAACATTTGTAACATATGAAACATATTACTATTAATTTATACCATATGTAACATATTATGTTTGGCAGGTGTAACAGCGCCAGACAAGAAAGGGTTCCTCACCTCTCTTATGAGCTGGCTAGATTTTCTGGCTATACTTCCTTACTTTGTTCTCCTTTTTACTAAGGTAAGTTACAACTTAGTAGTTGTGTGTGAACCGCGTCAGCACTTTCTCAGCCAGGGTTGGAAATTTTTAGCGAGGTTAAATGATTATGGGTGGAACCGTGGAGGTCCCAACGCTGCCATGAACCATGTTCCATGTGCTAGAACGGATGGGCAAATGTAGGTGAGGTGATTTCAGAATCGTCCAGGTGCTAAAGCATAATGCTGAGATTGTTGCTGGTGAAGTAATCGAAGAGGTCGTTCATCGAGAGGTAATACCTGTAGAGATTGTTCACATATTACGGTGACATTTTTATACCCCTCCCCTTCCCCCTCTCCCTCCTTCCGCATGCTGTAACACATTGCTATTGTGTGGTCATGTGATGACCCTAGCCCAGGGACAAAAGGAAATCGCGGCGTGTGCGGGATCGCGATTTTTCCCATTATTTGCGACATATTTTACATGTCGACTGTTATAAATAATCGCCAAAATAATCGCGATTTTCTTTTTTCCCTGCCCTAGGCTGGTATACGTAATATGTGAACGGTCCCAGTATAAGCCCAGTGGTGTGTTGAGGATTTTCTAGATGTTCTCGTAATTGTTGTGAAGTGTCATCTCGGTGTGTTAACTATCATGGGCCACTGGTACAGCATTCCACTCGGTTCAATCCGTGAAATCTGTTATTCGTTGTAATTTTAATATGGCATTGCGGTAAGGGGCGAGTCAAAGTAGCATATTTACTTTTGTTATTATTATTAGGAATTGAATGATGCAATAGATACGTTAGTCCTACTGACATTAACAATTTACTTTTGTTGCTAGGAATCGAATAATACGATAGAAATATTACGAGTGCTGCGGTTAGCGAGGGTACTCAGAGTCTTCAAACTTGTGCGGAGAAGCAAAAAGTTACTCCTTATAGGTCAGAATCTTCAATATGTAACACTTTTGCTATTCGCTTATTTTAAGATGACATTTTTCTGGGTGTTTTAAAATACCGTGAAACTTCCATTTCTGGAATATCAAATAACGGTATATGGTTTTATATCAGTTCGGGGTTATCATATTATTATAAAGATCGGTATTTCACTGTAAAATTGTTTTACCCACGATAACACACTCTTAAAATATAGCTGACTCGCTGTTAGTCTCTATTTCCTTATTTATTTAAGCTATTTTAAGATTTTCATCATGCTCATTTAACAAACTGCAGCACACGTGATGAAGAAAAGTACGAGTGAGTTGTCACTACTTGTCATGGTGTGGCTCATGGCCGTAGTCGTTTTCGGCTCTTTCCTCTACTACGCTGAAAATGGGGTAGGAAATTTATTTTGGAATCTTCACTTCGAACTTCGAACGCTCGTTAAAAATAACAACATGAATAGTGTTCATGTTCGAAGTGTTCATTGAACACTGAACAGCGATATACCTTAGTATTTTAATGAAGATTAGCCGATTCTTGTACATTTCCGAGGAATCTTTACGTTCGAATGTAAAATGATTCAGCACGCTCGATGTTTTTTTCCACAATATTTAACTTGGCTTTGTTTACAGAAGAACGAGAATATCACGAGTATCCTGGGTGCATGTTGGTGGGCTGTTGCTACAATGTCAACTGTGGGCTACGGGGACGTATATCCTAAGGTTAGTTTTGTCCTAGAAACCAGGACATTAACTTTTGGTTATTCAGTATTAAAGAAGATTCCTTAAGTGCAGTTATTTAGGGAAGACCATTTTTTCTTACAAACATTTTCAATCAGAACTAAAAGAATGAACTTGTAAGTCCTAAAATATTTATTTTAGTGCCATTTCAAAATTAGACATGGTTCTCAGGGTAATTGAAACGATCTGAAAATTTGTCAGATAAATTCTTCTTTCCAGAAGAATTTGAACTTGTGACGGTATTGCTGTTCATAACTTCAAGGGTCCATTCTTGAGGCACCAGTTTAATGCGATTTGAAGGATTAGAAAACTGTCTTACGTAAATGACTCCTACATTAAGGAATCTTATACTATTTCATATTTGTCAACTCAGTGTCTCAACGGCCCTTTTCATACCTCACAATTGCATTAAATAATTACCAGGAATGCATAAAGTGTCCATCATTGACCTCTTTTCACTGTAAATTTTGATCCTCCCTACAGAATATATCTTTGTGTTTGACAATGACCAATTTTCTCAGACTACGTGGGGTAAAGTGATCGGGACGGTAGTGGTGTTCCTCAGCATGATATTCCTCGCCCTGCCTCTCACCATTATAGTCAGCACTTTCAGGTTACTACTACTACTACTACTACTATAGGTTTATAGTACTAGTGTACTACTACTAGTGTACTACTACTGTAAACCTATCATGTTCTTACTTCTCAGGTCACTTTGCAGTTTGTTTTAATATTTCTAAAATTATTGTTATTACAGTCTAGTCTTGACACATTTGTACCCCCCAACTCTAATATATAGACCTGTTAGTCACGTGATCATGGGATTTTAAACAGTGTATTTGTGGGGATGACGGAACTTAAATTGAATTTCCTACATTTACGTTTGAAGTCTTTTCTTGTTTCTAGTCTAATTTTATGGCCGAGTTCTAAGCAACTAAGTTTTATTATGAGGCGCGACAGGTTTAGACCAAGAAGCGCAGGCTGCAGCTAGAGGCAGCTGAATAACAATTTTGGGGAATTCAATCATCTAATGAAATAAACATTCCATTGGTGTTAGCATAATGACTAAACGTTTCACCCCCTCAGTAAAACGTACAGAGCTAGAAAATGTTTAACAGCAGATGACAACACTGACGAAGACGACGACGATGAAGAAGAGAAGGATGATGCTAACGGTCCAGTTTCTGTAACCTAGCATAGATTCTCAACTAATGATTTCAGAAACAATTCTCTCTTCACGTCCCTTCCTCGTGATACCAACGCTACCCTCACCACCACCAGTATTAAGTTTGACTTGTTACGATAATTGGATAATTGCCAATTAAATTGGATCACCTCAGCTGACTGTCAAGAAAATATTGGAATTGCTATTGTCCAAATATTCTATGTCCTCATGTGAAACTTTAATCGTGTCTTCGGTGGAACATTCGGAAAACAGAGACGCCATTAAAATCGGGACCCTATAATCGTGCTCTTTTCTTTGAGCTGGGCGGAAGCTGATTTAAAATCAGATTATTTTCTTTTCAAGGAGCGCAGTGCACAGTGTATTTCAGTTTATGACACAGGGCCGGGTTGCCTTTTTGGTGGATTTGTCTGCTTTCTTGATTTTCAGCTTATTTTGAACATATGCAATATGCATTCTCAAATTTTACCTAATATTTGAAGTTGTTCGTTGTAAATTTAAGTAGTAGTGAATATGGCGAAGTTTAGTTTTGATTAAACGATATGCAAATTAAGTATGCCATCTTGATTGTAGATTCTGATAATTGGATCTGTTAATAGTAGTAAAGATTAGGATAATTTGAGATTTTCGTTTTTATTCATTGATTCAGTCGTTATACCTATCACCTAATCTGCTTCCTAATATCATGCAATACCACATGGTGGGGCCGGGGTTGGTATGGGAGGGAGGGGTGCTACTGCTGCAGTTCCACTTCCAAGCATAGCTTTATTGTGCGCTCTCTGACAAGGCGCTTGCGGAGAGGGACAAAAGAAAATGTAATTTATTATTGAATACTCGTCAATATTGAATATGTATATATACCTTAAGGGGCCCCATCTTGCATCTACTTAGGACGTCCGCCAAAATCGCAGATTTTCAGACCACCACCACCGGGTGCGTCTGAATTTTCAAAACCACCTTTCCCCCGGATTTCCAGTCTAGTTGTACTTGTGCGATGCGTTACCGGGCCGCGCATCCAATATTGACGGATGGCGGTGCGCGCTACTTTACCTGGGGACCCCAGGCTATTATGTTCATAAACATTTGGCGGAATGACAGGCTGAGCGCGGCCCAGTAAGTAGGTAGTGCGCCATCGACAGTGAGCCGCGCGTGCCGACTGTAGGATGGTTTTTTAGCGCTAATTTCGGCCAGCACAATTTTCTTCAAACAAATAGATATTAAGTATCCTTCCCGACCTCCGATTGCAACAAAAATTGGTAAGCTTACTCATAGACTTACAAAGAAAGTGTCCGAAAAGTTTAAAGCCTATCCAACCATCAAACATTATGTTACAGCTAAAAGCAGCGTATTTTGCCCCATTTTGATCACTATATCAACTCCGATATCCACCAAATTTTTCGGACAGTTGTAAAAGCCCTATTGGAAGGTCGTCGCCAATTTTCAGAATGATCTTATTCAAGGAACTGAAGATATATCCAAATAATACGACAAAAATCAACGAATTTGGTCAAATTTTGTCAAATTACGCGACTTTTACAGCTAATTTTGCTCCAAAAGCCGCGCACCATCAAATATGGCACCTAGGCGACACTCACTGGTCTTTCCAAAAAGGTATGACAAATTTGGTATTGTGAAAATTCTCACAGTCTCTAGAAAACAATGGTACAAAAATTTTTAAAATCCGAGCAAGTTTATTTTTATGGTGCACCCCCTACAGTAAGCGCTACTTCGAAGAAATTTAGACGAGTAACATTGTTACTCGTCTAAATTTCTTCGAAGTAGCGCGCACCGCTTTCTTCTCAAAATAGGGGGTGCACCATAAAAATAAACTTGCTCGGATTTAAAAAATTTTAGTACCATTGTTTTCTAGAGACTGTGAGAATTTTCCCAATACCAAATTTGTCATACCTTTTTGGAAAGATCAGTGAGTTTCGCCTAGGTGCCAAATTTGATGGTGCGCGGCTTTTGGAGCAAAATTAGCTGTAAAAGTCGCGTAATTTGACCAAATTTGTTGATTTTTGTCGTATTATTTGGATATATCTTCAGTTCCTTGAATGAGATCATTCTGAAAATTGGCGACGACCTTCCAATAGGGCTTTCACAACTGTCCGAAAAATTTGGTGGATATCGGAGTTGATATAGTGATCAAAATGGGGCAAAATACGCTGCTTTTAGCTGTAACATAATGTCTGATGGTTGGATATGCTTTAAACTTTTCGGACACTTTCCTTGTAAGTCTATGAGTAAGCTCACCAATTTTTGTTGCAATCAGAGGTCGGGAAGGATACGTAATATTTATTTGTTTGAAGAAAATTGTGCTGGCCGAAATTAGCGCTAAACAACCATCCTGGCCTACTACAGTCGGCACGCGCGGCTCACTGTCGATGGCGCACTACCTACAGTCAATACAAAATGGCAAGTGCTACGAAGTAGTGCGCGCCGGGCCAGATCATTGACATTAACAATGGTCAAATCCAATAATGCAATTCTCGCAACCAATCTCGTTAGCAGTTAGATCGGCAAAATGCGTTACTGGGCCTCGCCGAGCTGCGAAGAATTGACATCGTCAATTAAGATTTCCAGGTACTCTTAAGTTAGTTACTTAAAATAGACAATAACAGTAATATAATATAGTTATACATTTAGTGTCGAACAAGTACAGTTTAGCAGTTACATTTAAGTACTCGTTTTATATTTAATCATTAATTGACGATGTTGCAATTTTTCGTAGCTCGGCGAGGCCCATAGCGTATCTCTCCGATCTAACGAAGCATTATTGGATGCGCGGCGCAGTAACGCATCGCGTTAAAACTGGTTGAATCACGTGGTGAAAGTCACGATACAACGTGAGGCAAGTTGCTGGTAATTACATGAGCGACGAAAATTGACAAAAGTTATTTAATGACTGTACGATCCCTTTTCACACAATGAATGTTAACAATCTAAAAGCATATTTTATAGCCCGTCGATTCGACTTTAGTATAATATTTTATCATAACAAATTGGTAAATAGAACAGTTTCGACCGGTTTCTTAAACTCAAAGAGAAATATGAAATATGAATTTCCACACTTTAAGAAATATCAATTTCTACACTTTAGGTAACAGTTAAAAATGTTTAGAGAAAGGGATATAATCGACTTTAATGTAGAATGAAACTGCCTTCTCTAGTCAAAGACACTGGTCGAAATCTTTCAGAATGTAATAAAACGCCTTGGTTGCTTATAAACTTGTAATAAGATTGGTACGAATGACAATTAAATCTAATACACAAAGGTTCATGTTCGCGCTACACACGGAACAAGTTTTGACAGAGCCAACCTATTTAACAAGACAACCCCGCTTCAGGGTAAACATTCAGCCAACATCTATAATAAGTCACACCACACCAGATTAACCTTTACTTCAAGTAATCTGGTGGATTCGTGTAGTATTATAAGAGTCTCATGATTTTATAGCTCTTTCATTCAAATTTCTGATTGTTTCTGAATAGACTCAGTGAAGACAGATTCTAATTTAGACAGATTCTAATTTATTTCCATTAAAATCTGTCTGCACTGAGTCTATTCAGAAACAATCAGAAATTTGAATGAAAGAACCTTACTTCAAGGTTAACGTGGTGTATTTTCAGTGTAGTTCTGGGTCTGAAGGATACACTGAGAGGAGACTGATAGTATGTATTCGGCACAAAGAACATCTCCCCAATATCACGAAGTTGAAGGTTGGTCAACGCAAGAGAGTGCATTATATATTATGACTACAAGTGCAATTACATTTACTAGTGTTGTCCTTACTTTGATTCTGAAAGTAACAGCGTGAACTACCCGAGGAAGAAACGTAAGACAGTTAGAAAACGTAGGTTAGACTGTAACGCCGAAATCCAGCTTCGAAAATGCTTATAAAATATACATATATATAACTGCGGTATATGACATGACAAAAGGGTAAACTATGTATAGAACATTATTCAACTGCTATATGAAATTTCTTTGACGAGAAAGCTTCTAAAAACAAATTATATAGCACTCCAAGGATGGCGCATCGAATTAATAATATTGTGGAGGAATTTCAAACATTTGAAATCGGCTCAGAGTCTACCGTCTATGACCAGAGCAATTCTGGCTGCCAGTTCGCTATTACGTTATATTTAAAAAATTCGATACTTCTGTTGCCACCATTCGTTTCATCTTCTTTACGCCCTCTTTCTTGATTCTGAAATATTCCTTATTTCAATTGAAATGATTTTCAAGATAAATCGCCCTATATAGAACATGGGAGATCTCCTTTGAAATTGTCATTAATACAAATTTTAATCGGATAATCTACATACAAAGGAAATGGAAGGATCGTTCTAGAATTAAAAGTTTACCTTTCCAATGAACAGATGCTTCAACCTGTAGCTGATATGCCAGAGGATGGATTTTAAATCCGTACAATCTGAAATAATGAATCCGTATTAGTGTGGTTACCAGATTAAAAATGGAAACACTAGAAAACTGGTTAATCAACGCAGTAACGTTAGTTTCCTCAGTTTTATACATTAAAATAACATGGTTGAGACGATAAAATGTGGCATGTAACCGTAAGCATGTACTAGTTATGCAACTTTGTGCAAATCTACCAGAACAAACTGTACTTCATGCCAGGTGTCTTCACGATGACGTCATTTAAGAAGCAAAACACATGAGATGTTTAACACAACATGTGGAAAAACGGGCAGTATTATGGGCACTGTGAAGGACGTTAAGTTTCTCCCCTTTCGGCAGTAGTCTAGTAGGCTGTGATAGAAGCTCAGCAGTTAAGTTAGAAATTTTACGGGAGAAATGAGCTGGGATTGCAGGAAGTGTAGAGTTAAACGGGTCATAAATTAATTTCCTGGATAAACACTGTCCCAGAAACCGCTAACTATGCAACACTATCATGAGGGCCTAGTCCTCTAACTTATATCAATATTATGCTTGATTCAGTTTTTGCCGACCGTATACTTCTATTAATGTAGCATATTGTATATTATTATATATGGGCCGTTTCTAGTCTGATCTCATAGATGAATTAACATAATTCGATATGGGCGCAACAGCTAGCTAAATCAATGAGAAAACGCGCGCGCGCGAGAAGTTAAAATATTGCGCAGTCAACACTACAGATTTGTTCACTAAGAAGACCCTTTTGATACGTATTGCGACATGTTGCCAAATCACGTCAGTGTTCAATCAAATTTAGGTCTAAGATGAAATTAACAAAGCTCGGCCCTACTGAGAGAGAGAGAGAATGACCAGACACGAAGTAATCATATCATAAATGTTAAATGTGATCAGGCAAGGATTAATCAAGATTTTAACGCTCAATTTTAATCAAGCAAGATAATATCACACCTTACAACTGCAATCATACAAATAACAATGTTCCGCGTAGAAACACTGGTGTTACCTTGGTATAAATGAGCTAGGGGAAGGTTTAGGTCGATATTCTGGATGGACCATAAACAGCATGTGAGGAAAACTTGTACCAAAATAGGCTCCATCTGAAGAATAACATCATATAAGATTTATAGAACTTGATGATATACTAACAGTAAAGATAGATGGTAATATGTATATTGTATGTCTCGTATCATTGTATACTTATTATATACATACCTGCATACCTAAATGTCCCGTACATACCTATATGATGATATCTGGATGATTTAGGAACATAGACATCTTGACATTTTGGACAATACAGCTTCACCATACTTTCACCTGTAACAGTAAATTTCTAAAATATGTGTGGTAAGATTAATAATAAAACAAGTATTTCTCATATTGATAATAATTATATGTCAAATATTTAGAATATTTCATGTTGAAACTTAATCTGGTGAACGATTCCCCGAACTGGGAGAGGGTGCCATATCGCAGTGTTTGATTACACCATGTTTTGATACTAGATAAATATAATAATAAAAACACGTTCATTCTGAAATCTCAAATTTAGCAGAAAACCAGAAGTTTTTGATTTTGGAATGGTACCAGCCAACTTAATGTCTTATTCTAATTCCACAATCTTAATAACTATCAGGTTACCATAATGTCACGCCCAATTGAAGGTGAAGTTCCCTTACCAGGGTTGTCAGAGAGTCCTATAGGTAACATTAGTTGGTTCTCACAAAATACTCTGATACAAGTCCCGAACTCAGAATTCTGGTACTTCTCAAGCTGAAACAAAAATTATGTTATTAATATGTAAGGCAACATTCAGACTAATTTCACCTCTAGGAAACAGGAATGTACATACTTCACATCTTTACACACCAATTCTTACACCAGCCTAAACCCTGATGGTAGCAGGATAACTTTAAATCAGGGTGTTTCAGCACTTCCCCGTCACAGGTCACTAAGCACCTGTTCATCAAATATACTGCTCAATCAAACATGAATTGTTCTTACGTTCAAGTCGGCCAGTAAACGTACAGTATTTCATAATAATTCTCGCATAAGTATAATGTCCAATGTCCGTCAGTGTGTTACATATAAAAATCGTATATTATATAAAAATTGTTTGTGAAGCACGTGTATTTGTCGGAGTGACAGTGTTTCAGGAGATATAAGAACAAATACTATCGCTTGTCAATTGCTCGACAAAATAGCACACGATTGTCACATTGTCACTGCATATTGTCACTGCATATTGTCACCGCATTACACATAGTTACACAGTGGTACCGTTTGGGACTGGGGATGGTTTTATTTAATCCGCATGTAATATTGAAATTATTCTAACGACAGATTGTTAACCAATCGGACAATCACCGAGCCCGAACCTTTTAAAGGACCTCACAAATTCCGATTAATATCTAGATTTCATTTTGGTGTAATTGATCACGCAGCCTGCCATGTCATCGCGGTATCGAAATTTCAAATAAAGGTAATCTGTCAATGACGGCCAAAATTAGTGAACAAAATTACAGCTTTGATGGGGAGTCAATACGTTTGTTATGTAACTTTATCGTCAAGCGGACTTTCATGAAATCCGTTACACGATACCTCGTTACAGCTGCATTATTAGTGCACAAAGATGTTTAATAAAGTATATAACAGACTTCAGACATCGTAACTGTTAATCATTTTCTGTTTTTAATCCCAGACTTAATGAGATACCATCCATAACCTAGGAACAGTTAGCGCTGCTATTAATTAACAACACTGCAGACAGAGAACATGTCAGCGTCAGACAGGAGCAAACATGAAGGTGCCCAGAATTTAGATTTCAAGAAGTAACAAATCTTGTCACATGTAAAATGTATAGCGATCATGGTACTCGCGTCATGAGTGGGAACATTTTGTCAGTTCTATCTAATTACCTTAATATGAAGTACGAACCGTAGCTACGTCCACAGAATTTAACAATTTATGGTCCAACATCTATCAAATTTGGTGCGTATGCCCAAATATGGGCATATGGTTTTTTGCTTAAAATATTACAGCCGGCCTACTTACCATCATAGCCAGCCCTCTGTTAGTAAGAATGTAACGTGCGTGTATCAGTCCGTACAACATCTCCGCAGCTTGTTCTACTAAGTCGTTCTGACCTTGCGCATCATCCCCATCATCGTCTGGTTCTAGATCCAGTATCATATCTAGCGCCTGAGGGGTTACATGTTAACATCCAGTATCATATCTAGCGCCTGAGGGGTTACATGTTAACATACAGTATCATATCTAGCGCCTGAGGGGTTACATGTTAACATCCAGTATCATATCTAGCGCCTGAGGGGTTACATGTTAACATCCAGTATCATATCTAGCGCCTGAGGGGTTACATGTTAACATCCAGTATCATATCTAGCGCCTGAGGGGTTACATGTTAACATCCAGTATCATATCTAGCGCCTGAGGGGTTACATGTTAACATCCAGTATCATATCTAGCGCCTGAGGGGTTACATGTTAACACGAGTTTAATCAGTTTCTAAGAATGTGTAAGGAATGTGTGTTTATAAGAATGTGCAGAGATTGGAAATGGTTGTTAATCACACACAGGATGTTTGTGATATTGTGTAACATACGTTACACAATATAAAACACGTGTGAAGTGCTAACACGTCACTCCACATCACTCTGAGTGGTTTCTAACCTTTCACTACATCCGATTTAAACTTCTGTCACTTCACATCAAACATTCTTCCCATTACATTTAGTGTGAACCCCATCTGAACTACCGTGTATTCTTGTATATCCGTAATCGATACAAAGACCAAAAATAACAATGTTTTCGTGTCGACCAGTCACCCTATTAATATTCATGTTTCTCTCCGACATGGAGAGCTATTATTATATTATATGGTCAAAAGTTCTAAATGATGAGCTGTCAGCAAACTTATACTTACCTGTAATTATGATACGTTAAATGTTAGATGTACTACAGTTTGCCACAAGATCATTAAATTGAATGTAAAGCTTGGCCTTCGTCACTTGAACCATTAGTTGTGGTACTTTGCAGCCGAGTTTTAAGAGATACAGCAGCAGTCAACTTTATTAAATTAAGTATGTCATGTAACAGTGTTGGCAGGGAAAGTCTCAATATTAAGGCGCTGAGTTTACAACATGTTTACAACACGTGTACTCTAAACGTCAGAGAAAGATAACAGGAAACTGTCTGGGTGTATCAGCTCAGTACACTACATCCTGTTCTACAATACACTACACTACATCCTGTTCTACAAGACACTACACTACATCCTGTTCTACAAGACACTACACTACATCCTGTTCTACAAGACACTACACTACATCCTGTTCTACAAGACACTACACTACATCCTGTTCTACAAGACACTACACTACATCCTGTTCTACAAGACACTACACTACATCCTGTTCTACAAGACACTACACTACATCCTGTACTACACTACACTACACTACACTACATCCTGTACTACAAGACACTACACTACATCCTGTACTACAAGACACTACACTACATCCTGTACTACAAGACACTACACTACATCCTGTACTACAAGACACTACACTACATCCTGTACTACAAGACGCTACACGACATCCTGTACTACAAGATACTACACTACATCCTGTACTACAAGACAATACACTACATCCTGTACTACAAGACACTACACTACATCCTGTACTACAAGACACTACACTACATCCTGTTCTACAAGACACTACACTACATCCTGTTCTACAAGACACTACACTACATCCTGTTCTACAAGACACTACACTACATCCTGTTCTACAAGACACTACACTACATCCTGTTCTACAAGACACTACACTACATCCTGTACTACACTACACTACACTACATCCTGTACTACAAGACACTACACTACATCCTGTACTACAAGACACTACACTACATCCTGTACTACAAGACACTACACTACATCCTGTACTACAAGACGCTACACGACATCCTGTACTACAAGATACTACACTACATCCTGTACTACAAGACAATACACTACATCCTGTACTACAAGACACTACACTACATCCTGTACTACAAGACACTACACTACATCCTGTTCTACAAGACACTACACGACATCCTGTACTACAAGACATCCTGTACTACACTACATCCTGTACTACAAGACACTACACTACATCCTGTACTACAAGACGCTACACGACATCCTGTACTACAAGATACTACACTACATCCTGTACTACAAGACACTACACTACATCCTGTACTACAAGACGCTACACTACATCCTGTACTACAAGACACTACACGACATCCTGTACTACAAGACATCCTGTACTACACTACATCCTGTACTACAAGACAATACACGACATCCTGTACTACAAGACAATACACGACATCTTGTACTACAAGACAATACACTACATCTTGTACTACAAGACAATACACTACATCCTGTACTACACTACATCCTGTACTACAAGATACTACACGACATCCTGTACTAAAAGACAATACACGACATCTTGTACTAAAAGACAATACACTACATCCTGTACTACACTACATCCTGTACTACAAGATACTACATTACATCCTGTACTACAAGATACTACACGACATCCTGTACTACAAGATACTACACGACATCCTGTACTACAAGATACTACACGACATCCTGCACTACAAGATACTACACTACATCCTGTACTACAAGACACACACCGTGCTACAACAAACCTTGGGTATACTATTCCGGGGATATATTCGGATGCTAAGTGAACGGGGTAGGTGGTACCAAGGTGTTGCCAAGGTGTTACCAAGTTGTTACCAAGGTGTTACCAAGGTGTTACCAAGGTGTTGTGCAGACACAAGAGTTGAGTGTTAGATCGGGCAACTCTTGAAACATGGGTATTATACTGGGTACTGTGTTTAATCTTATTTTGGTTTAAAGACAGAATCACATGAGTTTATTCTGAACAATTTGTTGGTTGAGTAGAATAATTGACGCAATTTCCAACACGGATGAATTGTTCATTTTGATGGCGAAAGTGGCGAACATCAGTCATTAACATAACTTCTTGCCATTGTTTTCTACTGTGCAGACAACTGTGGTCATTTTCGCCCACAACATTCGAGTGTACTGTGATTATTCACGATCGACTTACTATGTAAAACAGAAATAAAAGTCACTGCAACAATAGCTGATTATTGCAGATCATTTATTTGTTCTATTAATTGTATCTCTCGATCCAGGTGAGCCCTGTATCCAAATATATGAGAAATAAAAATCAAAATATGTAAAAAATGATTGCGAAAAGTTCAATTTAGTAGTTTAAATGTGAGCTCAGGCGAAAAGTGAGACTCCAAAATTTGTTGCTTACTGCTTAGTCTCATTTTTTTCGCGTGGCCACCCCACCCCCCTCCCCGGTCCCCCTAGTAATTAAAATAACAGAGAGTAAACCAGGTACGTGACAAACTGTACTCGTGACAGTGTCACGTACAGTTGGTCACGTACACTCGTGACTCAGTTGACAGACAGTACGTGAGTTAGCCACTGTACGTGACACTGTACGTGACACTAAGTTAAACATTGAGAAGTGTATCTTGAAAGTGGTAAGATGATAAGTAACAAACGAGGAAGAAAAGTTGTGTAAAGTGGGAATAATGGGCGTGTAACATTACTGATCAACTGTTGAGCTAACAATTAACATCATGTATATTATACATTGTATACTTTACATTGTACATTCTTTATACATATCTAAACAAAACAATTCTGCAGCTTAATTGAAATACAATCCCACTTCCACACAATGACCAATATAATATACACATTACACGTTGATTTATTATAAAAACATCAACCAGCCTTTGTCGATAACATAGCAAACATATTAACATCAACTTGCTAAATATTAGATCATTGAGTCACAACCACCTGTGCTCTTAAACACTGTATTCTTCAGAAATAGATAGCACTTGTACCAGCAAGTAATACAGAAAGTTATGTATATTATTATATACACACACACTAAGTCTGGCTTGAATGACTTAAATATACATCCTTGTTGGGTATATTTTAATGTCGAAGCGTGTAATAAATGTTAGAATTTATTTATTTAACATTTAATTAATATAACTTAAATATAAGTATATTATGTACAACATGAGAAGATTGTTACTGATTACATGTGCAGGTGAGTATAACTTGTTACATTACAGTTTTAAAAAGCGTACACTAAATGTCTCTTTATATGATTAATCATTAGCGGAGCTTGATCATCATGGCCTCCGTCATTATTTTTATCGTGATTTACTTTTGAGAAATGTACCGTGATCAAAAAATAATTTGATGTTCCCGGGCATTTCAAGCCAATTACATGATTGTATTTTGTGAACATACGTGTAAAAAGGCACGGGCAATACCACAACTAAAAAACACGCTTGTCTACAGTAACTGTCTAGTACCTTCTAGTACCTTCTAACTAGTACTATACTAATACGCCTCAGATCACTGCCCGAACCACCAATTTGAAGAAGAACAGAACTTGCCCATGCTCACCATGCTAGAATTAAAAACCCAGACTTCCCAACATTATTCGGAGGGAACCATGTCAAAAGAGAAAATACAGCTCACAATTAGAACATGACTGGTTAGATCTCATGACGTCACCAACTATGTCTGTATATAATGTATACACTGTATAATGTATACACTGTATATAATGTATACACTGTATATAATGTATACAATGTATATAATGTATACTATGTCTGTATATAATCTGTATATAATGTATACACTGTATAATGTATATAATGTATACACTGTGTCTGTATATAATGTATACACTGCTTTATTCAGTCTGTATGGGATGCACTGCTACTACAAACAGTAAAGTCTCCACTTCATGTTGAATATTTAAGATTGTCACTAAATATTTCCTGTATTTTCTGGTAATTAAAATTATAGAACTGGAGATATCTGTCACGTGACAGCAAATGATCAATCATTACACTTATAATCTTAGTCTAATGTTAGCCATTTACCCGCAAATCTATTACATTTATTGATTATTACGTAACGCGATGGAACTATTTTAGGCGGGTAATATCCTGTCCAAACCCAGGATACATAACATATGAAGACTGTGTTGTAACTTTGTATGAAAAGCATTAATATATCATATTTATTGGCAAATCAACTGATCATGATGAAAAGGTTGGACCGTTGGGTCAATATTTTAAAAAGTTTCTATTTTATGACCACGTACTGCTGAAATCCGTAAATTTGAAAAGTATTGAATAATTTTGAAAAACCAACCTTTTTATAATGAGGAATCATGTCCGATAAACCGGTGAGGTTAAATTTGTCCTGGATGTAATCCTCGTCAACCTCACAGAAATACTCATTACCTCGCAGGCCACAGAACCAATTTATCCAGGATACTTCTTCTGAACTGGACATATCTGAACCTGACAATAGATATATAGTTATAAAGAATTTATTTACCAAAAAAGGCCAAGGGTCGTTTACTGAATATTTGTGAAAATTTCAAATCATTGAAAGCTTCTAATAATGATTTTTTTAAATTTATCAAGGTTATGATTGTGATCAGCAATAGGTATTCTAGATGTATTAAATAGAAGATTAATATTAAAATGTATGTTGTAGTTTATTAGCACAATGATAATATTAAGAATATTCAATCCGACAAATAATAATGATTAACAGTAATTAATCAACAACCTGACACTAGAACACATCTAGCTGCCACTACAATTTACATAGTACATTGCTTAGTACATAACATAGTACATAGTACATTACATAGTACATTACATAGTACATAGTACATTACATAGTATAATTTACATAGTACATCATGCTTCTTATATTGATATAGCTACTTTTAACTGTTTAACCTTAGCAATAGTGGTTTTGCTTCAGTAGCTATCCATAAGTGTTTTTCAAAGCAACGTTTGCATGTTTTCAAGTTTGTATTTATAAAGACTGGAAAGATCTGTGCAGTGTGAATCTCAAGTGCAAGGAATAAGTTATCTTTTCTGAAGTTGCATACACAGCTCAGCATAAGTTGAACAAAATAGCGGCACTTAAAATGCATTTATTGTCATTATTGTTCAAGTCAAGTGATGCATAAAGCAAAAAAATTCAAGTTCATACATCCTTTACCATATATTGGGCCATATGCATGCAGCAAATAATTTTGGCAACAGCCCAACAGCAGTCAATAAAAAATAGAGTGCTAAAGTTATAAATAGAGAAAATAAAAACTGGAATGACAGGTTACCTGAACTGGCAGTAGATTTACTGGATCCTGAGGAAGTAACGTGAATGGTGGCAACTATGAGGTCATGCTACCTGCGAGATGGGGACAATTAATAATAATCCAAATGATGAAATTTTTCATTTTACAGAATTATACAATATTACACAATATTAAACAATATTACACAATATTACACAATATTACACAATATTACACAATATTACACAATATTACACAATATTACACAATATTACACAATATTATATAATACAGCATCAAAATGTAAATACAAATACGTTTGGGCTTATTTCTCAGTTGGAGAGTACAGATTGAAAGTTCTAGTATGACTTGCTGTTATCACTAATTTGAGAAATAGATCAAATCAAATAATAATGCTTATTTTTTCCAAATAAAACGTTTTTGATATTTTGAATGATGGAAAAAAAATAAATTTGTACTAATGGATTGTGCTTTTCTTTTTTAGATAAACTTGTGGACTGAAAAAAATGGGTGCTCCAGCAACTCACTGAGTAGTTATCAGATGATTGAGATCAGAGATGTACATGTCAAGCATGAAGAGTTTCGATTTATTAGGTTATTATGTCAAGACACTAGATCCACAATAAAAAGCCCAAGTGTACACTATCACTGTATGACATGATCACCCAATCAATTTCCACTTTTAATGAACTATTATTATGTGTCAAAATGGAGTTTCTGGCATGTTTGCAAACACAAACATATGCAATTCACTGTTGATTGGGTGTGGCCTCTAAAAATTAAATTTTTAAATTTTGGCGATGGAATCCTCAAATGAGTAGGTACAGTATACCATCTGCGAAGTTACAGGTCTCAAATATGAAACATAGCTATGAAACATGGCTAAGTATATTTCGGCTTTAGTACACTATCATAGTTGAATCGATGATTTTGATTGAATTGATTATAATGAAACACAAAACACAAAAGCAAGTATCCATACACAATTAATTATTAATTTAGTTAGAAGCGAGGTAGCGTTTACAAATTATTTTTAGTATGGTGTCTTCCTCTGATGTGGAATGTGAAAGGTAAACAATTTTTAAAGGAAAAAAATATCCAAGTTAAACAAAAAGAACTTTTGAGATTCTGCATGCTTTGTTTTCTATCACAGCTATGTTGGCAATGAAACTGAAACGGGATTTCAAGGGTGTGTAACGGAGTGGTTTTCCCCTTTGAAAGCAAAGTCGAGAAGGGGACTGGGGTAAGATAAGATAATAACGACTAGTCATGAGGGCTAGGCTACGCAACCTTTTACTGTCATGTAATGGTATGGTACTATGGTTATTTGTTAATACAATTTAGATGTACTGTCTCCTTCAACCTGATCCCTCAGGAGAAGAGTTACAAGGGATAAATAAGATGACAAAGTGCCCCTTTCGGAGAAAGCATGATGAAGAATAGTTTTTCGTCAGTTATTTTGCTCAAGATTTATAATTGTGCTCTGCAAACTGCTGATTGAATTGAATGTTTTTAAATATGTAGATGAGCTGATTTACTGATGTACCCTTACAACACAGTAGATACTAAATCTTTTAGCAGGGATCAGCCTTATTTGAATTGGGGTTGTTCACACATTATAAATCAAGAGGCTTGCAGATAATGAACATATTGACACGGGTGCAGAGTTGAGTCTGTACGGAACCTAGTAGTTTCAGATCCTTGTTTAACTTGCCGTACAGCAAGGTCATCCACTACTTTAGCCCGGCGAGGCACATAGCTCCCTCTACAACTCCATGACAAATGTTTCATATATACTAGCCGAGTTCACAAGTTATATCCTTGTGTTTGAGAAGAGCTCGTTAGAACTGCTACCTTTCCCTTCAGTATCCCACAGTCTCTCGAGTTTCGTAACTGCCAGAGAACTCTCTTAAACAATTACTAGACTCGGTGATTATAAATCAAGAGGCTTGCATATAATGAACATATTGACACGGGTGCAGAGTTGAGTCTGTACGGAACCTAGTAGTTTCAGATCCTTGTTTAACTTGCCGTACAGCAAGGTCATCCACTACTTTAGCCCGGCGAGGCACATAACTCCCTCTACAACTCCATGACAAATGTTTCATATATACTAGCCGAGTTCACAAGTTATATCCTTGTGTTTGAGAAGAGCTCGTTAGAACTGCTTCCTTTCCCTTCAGTATCCCACAGTCTCTCGACAGCGGACGGGGGAGGGGGGTTTCCAAATGATTACGCTCAAGAAAACAAAAATGTATTAAGTAACATGCAAATGACCCCTGGCCCTTTAACCAGAGGCAGCTATTGAGGGTGTCCAGGCGTCCATGGACACCCATCTGGTGGCTGGTGCTTAAAAATAGAAATAGTGATTAGTAATAGTGTTCAGAAATATCTTATCGCAATAGAAAGCTCTTTAATCACTCAAACGTTCGAATGAAAGCGCATGCATGATCTTTGTGAAATTTTGTGTTGTTGGTCGTCCAACCCTACATTTGGACGACTAAGCCGCGCAGTTTTAACACAGTACATAGTTATATGTAAACGGTACAAAGCACATCAAGCGCGTCCAACTACAGGTAATCTATATGATTTGTTCGTCCAGGACACCTTGCAATTTGAACTATCGACTGTTATGATACTGCGCGGCTGAGATCATACACGTGTGGTGTCTTGTTTCACCCATATTGTAAGTTTTTGTTTTTGTTAGCTGTCGCCTGTGAAGTGTGACACATCACATACATGAGGCCCTGTGTGTAATGCAATCGATAGTTTGGAGGGAGCTTGGGCTGACCCCAAGTCACCCACCCCTCCCCTCCCCAGTCCGTCGATTGGACACCCAACAAAACTGCCAGCCAACTCCCACGAGCCGCCTCTGCCTTTAACCTGCAATCACGGATTTCGCCAACATTCACCCATGATACACATGGTGTAGAATAATTCAAATAATATACACATAATATAGCATTGACCCTATATAAAATTCAATATGAAATTCAATAAAAAATCTTAGTAAATTTTATAAAAACCCTTTAAGTAGTAGAAGTAGCCAGTTCAATTCGTTGGATCTAAATTTATAAACAGGGTGTATCGTTTACATCAACTACATCAAATAAAACCACATCTATACGAAAACGTGACAAACGTTACGTATCGCGTGAGTTCACCTTTGACATAGATATTGGCAAACAACTGTTTTGATCACGTAATATGACCGTATAGGGAAGTTGGCTTAATTTTTCGTTAAGGAAAACAAAATTTTAATGAAAACAAAATTGAAATTTTACTGCCATTACAATAATTATTGATATCATAATAAATATAACTATAACTCAGCATGAAGCAAACCTTACTGACTCGCCGTGTTACTAAAGGTGGTTTTATTTAAACAGACGGCTTGAGCTCGCGCGGCGCGCGACATTAACAATTAAGTGATTTGCCCACGTGGCGTTCACATAGCCATGTGTATACGCGCTACTGCAAGCGAGAGGGCTCTGGTTAGAGCAATGCGTGGCGCATTCCAATGTTCAAGCAGCTAATGACACAATTCAATTCAGCCAATCAGAGTACAAAAATCTGCATAGTTAAAATGGCAAACTAGACTTTCGATCGGCCCAAAATGAGACTTTTTTGGAGATTTTAAGATAACTCGAAATTAACTTTGTCTTAAATTTCCTTGACATTCGTTGCATGCCACTTTTCGCGCGCGAAGCGCGCGCCGCCAAAGGTATATTTGGGATACGTAACATGCAGGGCCCGGCTCATCTGGGCCACAGCAAATCGGCGAATATGGGTTCGAAAAAGCCATTATTGGCACTCGAGTCCTTGATCTTTCCGATGGTGCACTGGGCCTTAACTTTTGAGCTGCCGTCCTTCTTGTATCACGTTGCGACCCCCATCGTCAGAACTATCGTTCTGACGATACAGGAGGAGCCGCGCACTTCGTGCGCGGCGGGTCATACAACGTATGACAACGTCCTTCAGCTTCTGTCAACTGAAATTACTACTATAATCCAAGTTGAGGAAATTAGCCGACGCGCGGCTTTTATGGTTATATATAATATGTTTAATTTGTAATAAAGATCAAAATTCAAATTTGTAAAAATTTGTATTCCTTGTATCGAAAATTTCCCTTTATTGTTTATGAACATTTTACGAAAAACCGTTTACTGGGCCGCGCTCAGCCTAACATTTCGCCTAATCTCTTTTCGTTTATTAACATGATAGCTTGTAGGTTTACAACCTACCAGGACGGGCGCCGAGTTGGACTCGTCGACGGTCCTGTATATGGAACAGATATTTTACGAGTATCACCCGTTAACATGATAGCCTGAGGTCCCCAGGTAAAAAACCGGAAGCCTAGCCACTAGCTTTTTACTTTCGAAGTAAGGCCAGCTGGCCAGTAAGGTTTCCTGGGAAGTAAACATCAGATAATAAACTTGTTAAAACCAGTATTATTGCTCTAACCAGAGCCATCTCGCTTGCAGTAGCGCGCGACCGCTGAAGTATAATTCTACTTGTGAAACAAGCGCGGCATGCAGTATTCGTATACACATTAGTCAGTGTAATAAGCGCCAAGCGTACCGAGCACAAAACTTTTTTCTCCGATTTCGATAAATTTGGTACCAAAAGTTGTCTAAAATTGTAAATAAAATAAATCCGCCGTGTAGCAATTTTCGCTAAAAATGCTACACGGCGCTTGCGGCTTGTTCGCCGCGCGTGCTTTTTACGCGCAAATTTTTAGTTTTTGGCCTATAACTTTCACATTTTCAGTTATTATCACTTAAACATTATGGTATCGTAATCAGCTCATTGAGACGAAACTTTTAGTACTAATATTTTAAGATTTAAAGGAAAATTATTTTCAAAAATTTTTAATCTGAACACAAGAGAAATTTTGAACAAATTTTCAAAAAATGTTGTTCTTCAAATATTATAATTTTGGTACTAAAAGTTGCGTCCGACTAAGCTCATTACGATCCTGTATGAATTATTTCAAAATATTCAATATGTTAGAAGTTATAGGCATTTTAAGCAATAAATTACCCATTGGCCATTTTTCGTCCTTTGTACACTATTGCGATGCACAAAAGGTCCA